TATTTCAGAAAAAATGTTCCTAGTCTTCACTGTGTTGGATATGAGAGGGATAAGCTTGGGTGGCTCTGCTTGGGGAAGATGAGGTTGAGTAGGAGGCACTCAAGAGTTTGCTTCCTAAGCAGCAGAATGACGCGCCCTGGCACACGGCCTCAGGCTTGATGCTTGTGACAGATGTGATCATCTGGGGAGCAGAGCATGGGGTGTCTCTTCTCTAGGGACAGGTGGAATAGAAAGTAAGGACTCCCAGCCTCATTTCAGCTCCTTTCCTCACTTTTTTTTTTTTTTTAATAAAAGAGCAAATGTCCCTGGCAAAAGATGTATAAGGAACAAGGAATATTTTATGAAGGAATCTGGCAAGAAAGATCTTCCCCTGTTCACCCTTGAGGTGGGTGAAGAACAAGAGTGCTTGGTGATGGAGGTGAACTCTGAGAGACCACCTCAGAGGGCCAAATGAGCCATGGGAAAGCCACCAAGGTTGACTCAGCCAGGAGTCTCTTTGATCTTTCAACCTGCAAGTTTCTTAAGATGGTCTCCTGTCTCCCATTTCTGTCTCTGACTCTCTAATGGAGACTCGAACTAAGTAGAATGGGATTCTAAAATAGAGCTTGCAAAGGAAACTGCTCCAGGAGTCCATAAATGTTGACTTTGTGTGAAATCAGCTTGTCCAAACATCATCCGTCACCATGGACCATATTTCATCAGATTAAACGGCTTCATTTTGCAAAGAAGTACCTGGGCTAATATTTACACTACATCTTATAAAATCATGTGGAAATCGGATAATGATGTTCAAAATAGAGTGAATCCCCAGAGGGCACGGCTGGAAGAGTACTTTCCAGATCAGCCTGGCTTGCCCAATGAACTGCCCCCACCATCCTGGTGCTCATCTCACTCCGAGCAGCCATAGCTTCAGCTGCGAAAGGCAACTGACAGGCTGATGGTCTATTTGAGTTTTTTTTTTAGATTTTAGGTTTGGACCAACTTTCCTCCAGTAGGTTTTTGGTTTTGTTTTGCTAATTTGCTAAGAAATTCAAGAAAAGAAAGTAAACAGTGTATGGTTGTAGAAAATCTATCACCAGGACCAACCCCATGGTGTAGCAGCAATGCCTGAGCAACACTCAGAAGTCACAACCTACCTGGTAACCACAGGTCGAATCTCAGTCCTGGTCGGACTAAAACATGCCAGACATATGCAAGAGTTCCCAAAATCTGAAGGGCTGGAAGACTAGAGGAAGTGGATAATGACAGGATCAGATCCTGTGGAGGGTGCTCATCTCTCTCCTCTCTCATCTCCTTTCTGTCTCACTCATATGGACATATGCTCCTCCATTTTTTTTTTCTTGGGATTTTGGGCACGCACACACACATGCCTGGTATGTTTTTCAAGCTCCCGGATCCAGGACTTGAACTGCAAAGTCAGCCATGTGGAATCCAGCTGCCTTAACCACCATGCCACTGACTGGCCCAGCACTACCATTTAGAACCTACCAAAGGATGCCAAATGCCCGTGATCTGGGCTGGTGAGGCTGGGGGTAGATCACAGTATGAGGACCCTATTGAAGGTGCCTCTCCCCCATCTCTATTTGTCTGTCATGGAAGAAATTAAAAAAATAAAATTTAATTTAAAAAACTTAAAAGAGGTATAGGTTTGTAATAAATGTTCTGAAGAAACATTAGAGGCAATGATGGTGATGATGACTAAAAAGCTGGGCTGTGGGCCAGCTGGTGGCCAGGTGGTGAAGACACCAGATCCAACATGGCCACACCACTATCCCTTCTCTCCCCACACCCCCAAGAGGTTTTTGCTATAGGGTGCGTACACTCGCCAGAAAGACAGAGAGAGACAGAGAGACAGAAAGTGAGAAATCACCCCCCAGGGTGGGTGGCCACACTGTAATCCCTTCTCCTCCATTCTCCTTTCAGGGATCCTGGGCCCGTATGCACACATGCCTGGCGTGAGTTTAAGCCACTGGATCTGGGACTCGAACCACAGTCAGGTACATGGGAGTTCAGTGACATAGCTATTATGCTAACTGCTCATCCCACCAGCGTGTTTTTCAATTGGCCAGATCCAGAACTCAGACTCTGTCATCGGCCACGTTGGACCCAGCTGCCTTAACCACCATACCACCAGCTGGCCCAGAACCTGATCTCTTAAACACAAACATTTACATCTCCAAGAGCAGCTCCTATTTCTAAAACTTGTGTTGAAAGAAAAGCAAAGGCATAGAAAAATCTGTTAGTCTACAGATGACAGCTAATTAGAGGAGAAAGTGTTTGTGAGTGGTTGAAGGATACTTTTTTAATGTCAAAAATGAACCTGCAATACCGATTCATTTTTAGATCCAATGACAAGGCCATTTTTCTCATTTGTAATCTTCCATCATCTCCGGATACAGAAGCCACATAGTGAACTGGCCAATGAAACACAATCTCTGAGCACTGGAGTGAGCACAGAGGGACCATGCCCATCCCAGAGAAGTCGAGGTGCAGCAGGGCCACCTCCTGCCAGAGACCTCAGGAGGCCAGGGTGACAGCAGTGGTTCAGAGGTTTTCTGGTATGCTTCCTTGTTTTGTTTTAATCATTAAGGAATTAGTCAGACCCAACCATGGCTCCTTTTATCCCCTTTAAATAGCTGAGCCCAGAGTCACTTGATGTGATGAAGTTGGAAGAAAACATTCTTTTCCTGGCTTTGGAGTTTCAAAAGCCTATGCCTTTGGGCAAATAGAAAGGACTAACCTAATTGCTTACAGATGGAGAGGGAGAGTGCAAAATGAGTAAGAGTAACACCCTTCCCCAGGGAAGATGGGATTCCTTGGGTTGGGGCATAAATGACATCGATGGTCTCCTGAGGGGGGACCTTTGGCCTTCGTGCCCTGAGGTTGGAGTTGATATGCCCAACTAGACTCTGGAGCCATCAGAGCACCAGGTGTTCTTTTCTAAGGAGGCGTGAGTTACGGAGAACAGGCGGGGTCCCCAGGCAGCTACAAATAATGGGGAGTAGTCAAAGGCAGAGGATATCCCTCCACTGGGAGGGGAGGGTGTCCTACCACAAGCTGTGCGGACAGGCAGGATGCTGAGCCCTCCATAATGAGCCCTTGATAAGTCCCCCAGAGGTGTGAGGCAGCTCCAAGGAGTGGAGAGGGCACCCCATGTTGTGTGGATAACATTGATGCTACTCAGCAAAATGCACTCAGAATAAAATCAAATTGAGCTACAAAAAGTAAGATCTCATTTTGTTGCAATAAGAAGTCCATTAATTAGGGGCCATAGGTGGCATGGTGGTCAAGGCACAGGACTCCCACATGGCTGACTGAGGTTCGAGTCCTGGACCTGGCAGCTTACTTTTTCACTCTCCCTCCCTCCTTCTCTCTTTCTGGCCAGACTGAAGAATACCAACAATAGTAACCAAAATTAAATAAATAATTCTAAAAAAAGAAGCCCCTTAACTTCCCCTAACCCCCAAGCTTACAGACTGAGTCTTGTTTGTTATCTCATTGTAGATGGTGCCAGAGCTGAGAAAATGGTTCCCCAAAGACTGGAGATTTGCTATGCCAAGACCTTAGGTGCTGTCTCAGAATTCAGATCCCTCTAACCTTGTCTCATTGCCCACCCCGCACCTTCTTCAAGTGTTGGAAGGAGCTCTGTCTGGAATTTATTGATCTGATAAGGGAACTTTTTTCCCAAAGAAACACAACTGTCTTAACCTCTCCCTTCCCCATCTCCCCTGCCCAGATATTTCACCAAATAACCAGAGAATTGTCACTATGCCCATAAAGACTGTCCCTTTTCTTTTCTCTCTCTCTCTTTTTTTTGAGAGAGAGATTTTTGCTATAGGGTAGGTACACTAGCCAGAAGGACAGAAAGACAGAAAGTGAGAAATCACCTCCCTGGAGTGGATGGCCACGCTGCAATCCCTTCTCCTCCATCTTCCTCTGAGGCTTTTGGGCACACATGTACACATGCCCTGCGTGAGTTTTAAACTGCTGGGTCTGGGACGCGAACCACATTCAGTTATGTGAGAGTCCAGTAAAATAACCATTATGCCATTTACTGGTCCTGCGTTTCTCTTAAAGTTTGTTTATTTTTCATGAGACTGAGCGATAGAGAGGCACTCCTAACCCAACGTGTCTTCACATATGACTCAATCCCATCTCAGCCCGCCAAGATCCCAGGCATAAGGCATGTGCAGAGAGGTACCAGGATGTGAACTCAGGACCTCTGCCAGGTGGGTCCAGCTGCATTACCACTGCACCACCCCCTGGCCCTAGTCTTTTCCTGATTCTTCTGAGGGCAGCTCTAAGAAATTATCCAAAGAACTTCACCTGTGTAAGACAACCTTTGTTCCTGTGGAGTTCTGCCCCCTCGCCTTCCCATCATTTCTTGGTCCCCTCCAGCTCCCAAAGAGAATCGTTCACTGACCATGGTCTGAGTACAGGGGTCCATTCATCTCCCCCACCCAACCCTGCATCTTGCTCTCCTTGATGAAGAGGTTATTTAAGCCTCAGTCTTCAGGGCCCTCTTTATCTCGAATTTCGTATCATTCTCACACTGTGCACATTAATACATTTACAGACCTGTTTCTCCTGTTCACCTGTTGTCGGTTTATTCCCGTGAACAAAACTCCAGAGACAGAAGGGGAAACTTCTCTCCTAGATTCTTCCTCTTACAGAAGGTGGGTACCAACATTCTCAGCACACTTGCTGTTTTTGCATTTTCCTGATGGTCCCTGGGGAGCATTCTACTCAACATCAGGTCCCTGGTCACATTAGGGGACCCACAGTGGCTCACAATCGTACAAATGAGCTTTCCAAGGTGTGTGTGTAGGGGGCTTCCTACTCCTGGAATGGTGTCTGCCCCACCAACAGGTTACCTGCTGACTCACCCACGTACTTAGGTTCAGTTGAGGATTTCAAATCTTGAAGCCAAGGGCATCGTTTCAGAGGCTAGAGTTGACGGGTCTTAGTTTGCACCCCACTCCCCAAAGGCCTGCCAGTACCTGAGCTTCCGCTGAGTGCTCAGCTTCATCGCCTGACATGGCTCCTCTTGAAGAGACATTGATGGACTGGCATGCTCTTCACTCATATCTCCAAGCCCATCTTCTGCCCTCCCACCCCACCATCTGCCCAGCAAGCAGCCCTATTGACTGAGACTCAGCACTCGCATCACCACTTTTGTGACGTTTAACCAGGGGGAGCTAACCACACCCTTTTCTGTGACCTCACTGCGCCAGGGCCCCAAGGTGCTGCCATGGCTCCTGCACCACGTTAGCCAACTTGTCTATTTTCATGTCTTTTCCTTCTATCACAAAACCTTTGGGTCTTAGGATGGGAGAAAGAGGATATCCAAGAGGGATCTAACCATCTTGCTACATGGAAGAGGCTTATCGGGGCCTGCACTGGCGCAGTGGTGGAACGCAATGCTGCAATGCTGTGAGGCTTCCCTGGCTGGGAAGCGTCTGGACTCACATCCAATGGTCTCCCTGAGTACATGGGCCAAGCACATGCCCATAATCTGGGCCTGGTTGAGACTGGGAGGTGAGTCGTGGCGTTAAGATCTGTTGGAACTACTGCCTCTCTTTCTCTCTTATGGAAGAAATTTAAAAAATAAAAAAAATTTAAAAACCTTAAAAACAAACAAAAGGATGTGGGCCAGTCCAGTGGCCTAGTGATTAATGGCGTTGGATCCCACATGGCTGACCAAGTGATTTGAATCCTAGCCCACTGGCTTGGAAAACCATACCAGGCGTGTGCATATGTGTGTGTGCGTGTGCCCCAAATTCTGACAGAGCAGAGAAATAGAGAAGGGATTGCTCTGTGACCACACCCATTGGAGAATGCTTTCTCCTTTTCTCTATCTCTGGTGAGCACACCTGCCCTCTGGGGGAGATGGGGGAGCATTTGTGAAAACACCCGAACTCCTTTACCATTACCATTATTTAAAAACACAAGGATTTCTTTGTTTTGTCTTCTTTAAGGTTTTTGCCGTAGGGAGCATGTGCTCTCCAGAGAAAGAGATAGTGAGAGGGGAAAGTGAGAAATACCCTGCCAGGGAGGATGGCCATGCCACAATCCCTTCTCCATTCTTTCCTTGAGATTTTGGGCACGTACACACACATGCCTCGTGTGATCTTCAAGCTGCTGGTTCCAGGACTTGAACCACAGTCAACCGTGAGGAAGTCCAGCTCCTTAACCACTATGCATGCAAGATCATATTAATAAAAAAAAGCCAGTAGAAAGGTCATGATGTCAACATGACTTTTCAAAGAAAGAAGACCTGGGCCAGCAGTGGCATGGTGGTTGAAGGAGCTGGACTTCACATGGCTGACTGTGTGGTCAGGGGGATCTGGACCCAGCAGCTTGAGAAACACGTCAGGTGTGTATACAAGCATGCCCAAAATCCTGAGAGGAGAAGGGACCGTGGCATGGCTATCCCCCCAGGAGGGGGGGAACTTCCTCCTGATCTCTAGCCAGTGAGCACATGCACTCTATGGCAAATAAATAAATAAATAAATAGGAGTTCTTAGAACTTCTGCATTTATACATCCATGTTGGACTTACAGTTCTCACTATCCTTCAGACAGAGTAGGATCAACTTTTGAAACCCTCGTCCTAGAATGTGAGGGCTGGGAGGGATGCTGATAGCCGGTGAGGTCACAGCTTCAACAGCTGAGGTTTCCTTGGCCACCAGAACTTGAGTGATGCCTGGCAGACGCTGTCTGAGTGGCTTGACGAATCTGCCTGGAAGCCAATAATATCATCAGAAGGCTCTTCGTATGGTGTGTTGACTTAAGGTTAACAAGGGATTTTCTCAGCCGGTAAATCTGTGGTTTTGGAGCCTCAGGCTTGAGAGGCTTTGTGAGAGGCCAACTGGGTCTGCCTCTACATTGCTGGCCCCAGTACAGGGTCTTTGTTGGAGGAGGGCTCCTGAACCCCACTGACAAGCAGAGAGGCTGAGATTTCATATGTGAAATCTAGCATGTGACTATCAGCCCAGGTTCTCAACCCATAGTCCCAACACTGCTGCTTTTTTTAGCCTCCTCCCATAATATGCTGTAATTGTCAATGCCCCTTTTCTTATAACAAATATTTTGAAAACCCCCTTTACCATTCTGGAATAATATATATAACATAACTAGCCTAGATGTATTATGTTTATGAAAAGAAGCAGCTCATTGGGCCAGCAGGTTGTGTGGAGATTGGAGGCACTGGACCAACTGTGCTATCTTGAGTCCTGGAACAAGAGACCTGAAAATCAAACCAGGTATCTGGGCATTTGTGCCCAAAATCTCAAGAGGAGAATAGAGAAGGGACTATGATGTGGCCATTCCCCCCCCCACCCCGGGCAGTGATTTCTCACTTTCTTCCCCACCCCACACACATTTCTCTCTGGCAAGCTTACATGCCCTATAGCAAACAAACAAACAAAAAGAGTGGCAGCAGGTGGCATAGAGGTTAAGGTGTTGGACTCCCATATGGCTGATGGCAGTTTGAGTCCTGGACCTGGTGGCTTAAAACTCACACTGGGCACATATACATGTGTGCCCAAGATCCTAGGAGGAGAATGGAGAAGGAACTGTGGCATGGCCATCCCTCCAGGGGATGATTCACTTTACCTCTCACTGTCTCTCTCTACTTCTCTCTGGCGAGCACACACACCCTATGGCAAAAAACAAACAAACACACACCAACAACAAAAAAAGCAAAAAACTTTCAAAAATCAATTTATAACGACATATTATTATTTTTTTTTTGAGAAGTTCTTGCTATAGGGCACATGTGCTTCCCAGAACGACAGAGACAGAGAGACAGAAAGTGAGAAATCACTCCCCAGGGGGGATGGCCATGCTGCAATCCCTTCTCCTCCATTCTTCTCTCGGGATCTTGGGCACACATGTATATGTGCCCAGTGTGAGTTTTAAGCCACCAGGTCCAGGACTCGAACTGCAGTCGACTACATGGGAGTCCAGTGACACAGCCATTACACCAACTACTGGTCCCTATAATGACATAATTTAAAAAGTTATGCTTTGAGTCTGGCAGATGACTTAGTAGTTAAGGCACTGGACTCCCGCGTGGTCCCACTGCAGTACAAGTCCCAGATCTGGTGGCTTGAAACTCACGGTGGGAGCATGCACGCATGTGCCCTGAATCCCAAGATACAGTGGGGCAGAAGGGACTGTGGTGGGGCCATTACCCCTGGAGGGTGATTTCTCACTTTCTGTCTCTCTCTGCCTCTTCAGCAAGTACACATGCCCTAGAGCAAAAATCTCTAGAAAAAAGTTGTACTTTTAGCTATGTAAGTGTCCTGAGTCAACTAAACCAGTAGAATTAATTAAATCAATGCTTCCACTCTATGAAGAATCATAAATCTGTGTTGTTTTATAATATAATTTTTTTCTTTTCTTTTTTGGTTCATTTTTCTAATTAGCAAAAATTTTATATATTTATGATGTGTGACAAGTTTTGAAATATTTTCAATAGTCCTTCCCTTGTCCAGAAGAAACACATTCTAAAATCCCCAGTGGTTGTATGAAAACGCAAACAGTACTGAACCCTGTATATATTATGTTTTTTCCTATATGAGGTGACTCTCAAAGTTTGTGGGGCTAGCCCCATAGCACAGCAGGCTAGCAATGTGTAGAGGAAACCAACTCTCCCATGATTAACCACAGTTCAAATCCCAGCCCTGGTGGCTTTAAAAACATGCTGGGCATGTTTGCATGTGTGTCCCAAATCCTGAGGGAGTGGAGAAATATATATATATATATTTTTTTTTTGAGAGGTTTTTGCTATAGGGCGTGTGTGCTCGCCAGACAGGCAGAGAGAGACAGAGAGACAGAAAGCAAGAAATCACCCCCCAGGGGGGATGGCCACACCACAATCCCTTCTTCTCCATTCTCCTCTTGAGATCTTGGGCACGCATGCACATGCGCCTGGCGTGAGTTTTAAGCCACCGGGTCCGGGATGCGAACCACGGTTGACTATGTGGGAGTCCAGCGACAAAGCCATCACACTAACTGCCAGTCCCGGGAGTGGAGAAATAGAGGAAAAAGGATTGTGGCATGTCCGTGCCCCATTGGGAATGCTTTTTTTTCTCTCTCTGTTGTGTGTGTGTAGAAAAAGGAAAAAAGTAGGGGGAAAAAGTGGAATTAAAATATAAGTTGATTTTTATTTTAGAGAGATTTTTGCTATAGGGTGTGTGTACTCGCCAGAGAGACAGAGAGAGACAGAGAGACAAAAAGTGAGAAATCACCCTCCAGGGGAGATGGCCACGCCGCAGTCCCTTCTCCTCCCCTCTCTTCTCAGGATCTTGGGCATGCATGCACATGTGCCTGGTGTGAGTTTAAACCACTGGGTCTGGGACTCAAACTGTGGTCAACTACATGGGAGTCCAGCAATGTAACCACGATGCTATTTGCTGGTTTGTAAAATATTAGTTTATTTTGGTGCCGAAATTTTGAATTCCATGCACAATATTTTTGTAATATGCATTTTCCATGAACTTTCTGAAGGACCCCCCCACCACCACCACATAGATACCAATAATAAAGTTTCATTGATAAATTGGGCACAGTAAAAGATGAACAACAATATTAAAGAGAACAGTTATAACAATACCCTATAATAAAAGTTATGAGAATGTGCTCTCTCTTTGAAAATCTTTTTTAAAATGCCAGAGTGTATGTGGTATACACATGCATGTGTGTGTGTGTGAGAGAGAGAGAGAGAAAGAAGAGAGAAAGAAGACACTTAATAGGATCTGGTTATACTGTAGTCCTTTTTCCTCCAATTCTCCATCCCTTCAGGATCATGGGCAGGTACACATTGGCATGTTTTCTTTTTTTGAGAGGTTTATGCTATAGTGCGCATGCGCTCACCAGAAATACAGAGAGAGACAGAGAGTCAGAAAGCGAGAACGAAAAAAACCCCCCCCCCCCCCGGAGGGGGGATAGCCATGCTGCAATCCCTTTCCCTCTATTCTCCTCTCAGGATCTTGGGCATGCACGCACGCATGCCCAATGTGAGTTTAAGCCACCAAGTCCGGGTCTCGAACGACGGTTGACTACATGAGAGTTCAGCAACATAGCCATTACGCCAACTGCTGGTCCTAACGTTGGCATGTTTTCAAGCTGCTGAGGCT